CATTTATCCACGCCACTCTACTGGTTTTCTGCATTTTTCGGTCGACTCTGACTGGCCGGGGCAATTTTTCACCTTATAGCTATGGCAAAGTTATAGCCAGCCGGCGATGCTCGTTAGGAAAGGCAGACAGACGCATCAGGCACCGGCGAGTGCGAGAGAGACGGGAGCGGCCGGTAGACCGTCGATACTCCCGGCTCGAGAGACTTTGGTGACATCTACCGACCCTACCTAACACCACTTTTCGCAAACGAGCCTTTAGCCGGCCAGAGGCTCCCCGATACAGGGCTCTGGAGGCCACACGGATACTACGGCAGGCGAAAAGACATAGAGAGCCTTCGCCCTGGCTCGGACATGACTGAAATTTGGAACCTGTGAAAACGCATGCAAGGCCTCCGCCCTCCAAACCCCACCGCATGTGACTGGCTGACTGGCTAGACGACTTCTTGGACAGCTAAACCCCGGACAGAGCGCCCCCTCCCCTCCCCCGCCTGTCCCGCCTCACGACCCCTTGGCTGCGAACCCCACTCGTCTGAGTGAGATATTCATCAGGGAAGAGTCTGAAGTGCGTCAGATGAAGAACACCGCGCCTGGTTTGGACGGTATCACTGCTGCGATGCTCCAACACCTGCCGCAAGCTGCGAGAGACCAGTTTCTCCGACTTATCAAATACTTTTGGTCCACTGCGACGCAACCGGGGTATTGGAGGCAGACCCTTCTGCTCCCCAACCTCAAGGCAGGGAAGCCCCAGGAGGCAGCGTCCTCCTACAGGCCCCTAACCTTCGTCGTCTACAAACTGTATGAGCGACTGCTCAAGGCACGACTGGATTTGGGGATGGAATCATCCCATCTCCTCGACCCAACCCAGTTCGTGTTTCGGAAGGGACGGGATACAGCAGACGCTATCGGCTCCCTGGTCACGTTCGTGCTCAGTGCACGTGGACGGGGGAAGGTCGTCGCGGCGTTCTTCGCGAATGTCGCGGGGGCCTACAACTCGGTCCGGCCGAACCTGCCTCTGCAACGCCTGGAGGAGGCAGGGGCCCCACCCACGGTACTTATAAACCTGATCACCTCACTGTACTCCAAGAGCATAAATGCGGCATACGGTGGCCGCGTGACGGACCCACGGCTCTCCGACTTCGGTCTGGCAACTGCGTTTGGCGGAAGAACGGGTCTGCTTGGTGCAGTGAGTGCTTCTTCGCTTTACAAGACCCAACGAGTATTTTCAGTCAGAAAAAACTCTCACATCCGTGCTGCATGAGAAAATTTGCGCCAGGTATGAGATGCTACTGCTGATTTACATGAAAAGGCCCGTGCTGCTGAGGAAGCCCGTGCATGAATTAAAGCATTAAAACCGGCTGATGCGTCGCTCTTCCTGCCCTTCCCAGAAATGCACCTCGACCAGACTGCGGCGACAGCTGGAGAGCCCGGTCTACTTGGCCTGCCCTAACCGAGTCGAAGATTTCAAGACAAGAGCACGCAACTTCATGATAGCGGGTGCAATTGAATTAAAAAGAGATACGACCTTGCGGACCCGGTCTTGGCGAAGCTGCACGCCAGCTGTCGGCCTCGATGAAGCCCACCGCCCGGACAGCATTCTTCACCAGACTGCTCCCGCGCTGTGTGACACAAGACGACGACACCCTCGACCGCCTGGACGAAGCGTGGAGGTGCCTGCGAAGGGCCTTGACCCCCCTGCCGGCCAACCTTCGCGGGCTGCTGTCGGAGCCGGACCAATTTTGGCACGAGGTGCTACATCTCTCTGATTCTTGTGGGGAACAGATATTCACAATACTCCCCCTCTTCTGCCTCCGGGCGCTGGCGTCCCCGCACTCACTGTGAACTTTGATGGTGCAAATCCATTGCATAATAAATAATGCACGTGGCGGGGACGCTACCTGGACGCTACGCCGGCCCACGCCACGAGTGCTGAGCTGTACCTTGTGGGACAATTTTGACCACGATCATTAATGAGGGCCACAACCTCCCACCGTGATCCATGTTTTGTGCCTTGGCCACTATGGCCAAAACTTGTACCTTCCCTCATATTGTCCGTAAAAATTGTCCTATCAAAGTTTACAGGGCTCAAACGCCCAGTTCGAAAGGTGTTTTTCGGAGATAAATCTCGTCAAAACAAAGACCCGCAACAGGCTTATCACGAACACCGTGGAGGCCGTGGTGCTGGCGACCTAGGCCGTCCGCCGGGTGCCGGGCTGCCGGGCTGCTGCGCGACGTTCCGGCGGGACGCGACGCACTTCGCCAGGATAAAGACTGCGACGCTCTACGGCTGGGACAAGCCGCGAGACAACCAAGAGGAAGAAGAACCGAACTGAAATTTTCAATTTGTAGATTAAAGTAGAAGGGATTTTTCCAGCCTAGTCTTTATTAGCATCCGTTTGCCCCTAAGTGGTTGGCATTGGCAATTCCCTAAAATACAATTCTTGTTAACTGTGAAACGAACCCATGGTTGGGGAAATTTAGTCGCTTTAGGTGTTTAAAGAACTTCAAAAGCACGCAAAGCGTTCTTTAAATTGTTGACGTGTCTTCTTGCATAATGGACTTCTTATTTTATAACTGCACACAATTTTTCGCGTGGGCGGCGCGTAATCTAAAGACACCTAGTTTTCATCATGATTCTCACACCAGGCCTGATTTTCACTCCTTGCGTGATAAAATTCGATTCCTGATTGGCTGCGTGAAGCTTAGGAAGCGTGAAAATCACGCCTAGCGTGAAAATCCACACATATTTTACACTATTTTTCACGAGGGCGGCACGCGCGTATGGAGCGGACTACCGAGAGCAAAGTGTTCATTGTTGGGCTGTTACCCTGACGCGGCTCAAAATGAACCACACCCAGAAAAACGAAAAGTTGTCTCAACCATAGAGTTATGGTTGAGAGCCTCCGAACCATGTGATGGTTCAGTTAACTATATATTGTCGTCGTAACTATATGATTCATGCAAAACCGGGGGGTTCTCAACGTTAACTCAACCATACGGTTTTGTTGGAACAAGTGTCACTAGTAGTTGATACAACATCACTGTATTTAAGGTTGGTTGCTGCTTTAGTGTGTGTCACGGTGCGTTGGTAAACAAGCAGTGACTGGAAAATAAAAACTAGCTTTGGCTGAGCGATTAGCGAAGCCCATTACTCCACTGACCCGAAAAGTTTCATTCTGTTTGTTTGTTTGTCAGTCTGTCCGCACGATAACTCGAGAATGAATTGAGATAGCGATCTGGGAATTTTAGGGTCGTTTTGTATCACAAAAAGACAGATCGAGTTCGAAGATGAGCATTCTAGCTCAAAAATTGACTTTTAAACAAATCGAAAACCGCAGGTTGCAAAATGTATTTTTTTCAAATATTTTCTTATGGGTTCCTGAGTGGTAACTCGTCAAAGTAGAGCCCC